GAATGCTTGGTCGCCCAACAGGTGCAAGGCCCTGGGCTCCACCTTCAGCATCACAAAAAACTAAGTATGTGAATAAACAGATCCTAAAAATTCACATGATTTTTAATAAATACAATTGTTGTGCTTTCACAGCTGTGCTCCATCAACATCTGTATAGTTGACACTGTGTAATCCAGATGGATTACAGTAGGCCTTCATCTAAAAATCAATTTCTCTGGTTGCCAGATGTAAACAGGCCACACCACAGATGAGAAGAGAAAGAACAGATCTAAAAGCATTTTAAGCGCTCGGGATGTAGCTCAGTGGCATGTGCAAGGCCCTGGGTTGCATCCTCAGCACTACAGGGGGAAAAAAGGCATTTTATTAAATGAAACATAAACTACATAAGGAATAACTGAAAATTATGAATTCATCAATAACTTTTCTGGATAATAATTAATAATTCTGTTGAAATTCTTATTTTAGGACTTTCATCAACATTCTTTTCAGTCTCACCATCATGAGAAAGGATACAAGTCAAACTACTATAAAAACATCATATTCCAACTTGCCTGCATCCCCCCCTAATTTTTTTTGAGGGGGCTACCCTGGAGCCACCTCCCCACCATTTTTTATTTTTTATTTTGAGACAGGGTCCCACTAAGTTACTTAAGACCTCACTAAATTGTTGTGGCTGGCCTCTAACTTGTGATCCTCCTGCTTCAGCTTCCCGAGTTGCTGAAATTACAGGTGAGTACCACTAGGCCAGGCACATTCACCCTGTCGTACAATCTCAAGAACTCTTTTCATCCTGCAAGATACAGCACGTTAAACAACTCCCCATACGCTCCTCTTCCCAGCTCAGGGCAGCCAGCACTATACTTTCTGTCTCGGTGAACCTTACTCAGTTAATCATCTCATTTAAGTGAACCACACACTACTTGTCTTTGTAGACTGGCTCATTTCACTTGGCATAATGCCTTCAAGGTATACCCATGTTGTAGTCCGTCAGAATTTGCTTCATTTTAAGAGTGCGTAATATTCCACTGTGTATATACCACGTTTTGGTTTTGGTTATCCAGGTTGTCTGCATCTCTCGTGTGTTAGGTTATTCTCAGGAATCAAGTTCAAATATCCCCTCTGAAAGGCAGCAATGGTGTCCTGATCTGCTAATTCAGGAAAAGTAAAGAAAAGCCAATATGGGTGCTGGGATTGTGGCTTAGCGGTAGAGCGCTCACCTAGCATGCGGGGGGCCCTGGGTTCGATCCTCAGCACCACATTAAAAAAAAAAAAATGAATGGAATAAAGGTATTGTGTCCAACTACAACTAAAAAAATAAATATTAAAAAAAAAAAGAAAAAGAAAAGCCAATATGAGTTCATCCTTTCTCCACACCCAGCCAGGAATATGGGGCAGAATTGTACTTATTAGGTGTACTATATCTTGACTGAAAATTGGGTTTTATGTGTTGGGGACATTCCATAGCAAGGTCAATTTTCCTGTTTAATCATTCAATTTAATTAGTAACTGCTTGCGTTAAAATTTTTCATTTTGTATTAACCAGACTCTAGTTTTATGCTATTATTTGAATTTCTTAACATACTCTCTTCAGATCTGATCCTTTTGCTCATTATTCAGCTGGTAAGGAGGGAAGCAGCTGAATGAGACAGGTTGAGTGGAGGCCATGGTGACTCTTCCCTACTTACATAAACAAGAAGTCCTTCTAACAGGCATGGAAGGTTCTCCCCTCCTCCAGTCTGAAGCCACCTCAGCCCTTTGAAAGATCATCAGACCTAGCCCACGTCCGTGAGGAAGAGCGAAAGGGGGCAGGAAGAGCTGCGTCCAAGGCACCTGGCCCATGGCTGGAGCAAGCTTCCACATTTCCTGGTCGGCTGAAGAGGGCTGAGGATGCTCCTGAGCCCCCTCAGGGTTCAGCACTGTACTTTCTGACTCAGTGAACCTTACAGACACAGGAGACAGAGCCTCTCCACTTCCCATGGTGGCTTCTCTGAAACCCAATGGTGGCTCCTACTGCACCTCCCTCCAGTCCTCTGCCACTGCCCTTGCAGGATGCCCAGCCTCAACACCCCTCCTTGCCCTACCACACTGTTCTCTGAACGGTTCCGCCACTGAAAACCAATCAGCCCACCTACCAAGGACCAAGACTGGGTTCCACCAAGGACGCCAGTGCTGCGCGTGCAGAAGGATAGCAGTTCAGAATGGCTGGTGCCAGCCTGTGCATCCCAGGCTCCTTTCTCCCTTTTCAAGAGTTTCAAACCAAACAACTTTACATAGGGGGTCTGCGTTACTGGACATCTAAGTCCTCTCCCAAAGACTGAAATTTGGAGGCTTTCTTTACCATAATTTTTTGTTTGTTGGTTTGAATTTTTATAAAACAGTACATAATTTATTAAAATGAGAGATCTCTCAAGCCTGCAGACTTGGGTGTGAACATGCCAGAATCTAAGAGTATCTGAATACATAGTGTCATGGATCCAAAATGCCTCTGAGTTAGAATCCTAGGTAGCTGGAGCTAAGTTCTTAGCTTCACTGGGACTCCACTTTCTCATATGAATGAGGAGTATTATATCAGCATGGGTTTTGCTAAGCTGTTATGCAGATAAGATAAAATGGTGAAAAGCATCTAGCACACAGCGTGGAAAGAAGAATCTGCCAAATAAACATGAGTATTCCCTTGCTTTTCACGACAGACTCTGGATATTCTGGAAAGCATGGTGTCTATCAGTGAGCTTCACACTGACAGGACATGAGATAAGAAATCTACCAAACTCTGCTATGTCCATACAAGAACATACTGCGTGAAATGAAATAAATAAAAAAGATGAGAAAAGGTGAAAGATTATGATTCGTCTGAACTATAGCACTAGTCATAAGTGATTTTTTCACAAAGCATCTGACTTGTTATTGGGTTAATAGTGCAAAGAATTCAAACAGCCAGACATAGCTGCTGAGTATGTTTTACTGAAGAGGCTAAGGAATGTTAAAGCCCCTCCAAGTAGAGAGAATCAGTTTCCTAGAAGCAGAGACAGAGATTTCCCAGGGTCACGACAGAGAACAGCATGTGTGGGGTGTTCTTAGGTATCCAGCCAATGTGAGGGTGAACATGTCATCACTAAAAACAAGGAAAATTGGTTCCTATAGGGGACGCAGAAATCAAGACAGAGAGGGCAAAGTAAGAAGTGGGCATTCCTACATATGCCTTGTTCAGTAGACCTGTCTCTGGAACTAAATAATTGTTTTACATAATTACAAAGCAAATTTAAATTCTAAAGTGTAATCCCTGAAAGTAAAAATAAAACAGACCTAAACACTTATTGAGTTTGTAGTCTGACCACAAACAAGTGACATTAAAACATAAATTTTTTATTTTTTTCTTGGCAGTGCTGGGGACCAAACCCAGGGTCTTGTATAGGATGGGCAAGCCCTCTTCCCCTGAGCGACCTGCCAGCTCCAACAGCTGGGTTGGATTCCCAGCACCATAAAAAATAGATGGTCAGGCTGGCATTGTAGCTCAGCACTTGCCTAGCATGTGTGAGGCACTGGGTTCGTTCTCAACACCACATATAAATAAATTAAATAAAGGTCCATCAACAACTAAAAAAATATTTTAAAAAAAGATGGTCAAGAGAGAAATGCAAACTAAAACCATAATGGACTTCCATCTCATTTCCTCTAAAATGGCTCAAACAAAAAGGCTGACAGCACTAAATGCTGACAAGGATACAGAGTAACTGGAACTCTAACAACACTGGGGGACAATAAAACACACTTTGTTCTTATGAATTTAAGGAGCAGCTAAATATGAAACATCCTATAAAATCAACAATTCTACTCCCAGCTATTTACTTGGAAGAAATGAAAACATATACTGACCAATAAATAAATAAATAAATAAATCACACACACACACACACACACACACACACACACACATTTTTTTAACAAAAGTGTTCAGTAGCCTTATTTATAACAGCCCCAAACTAGAAACCATCTAAATGTCCAGAAGAGAACACAGAAAATAAATGCTGTCTATTCATACAACAGAATACTATTCACCAATTTAAAAAAATAACAAACTATCAATATATGCAAGAGCAAGGATGAATTTGAAAACAAATTTTAAAAGCCTAACAATATCATGATTCTTTTTTTTCTTTAATTCAGGAATAAGTAAAATTAATCTACAGTGGTATGAATTAAAAAATGGTTACTTAGGGTAGTGGTGATTTGGAATTGTGTGAAAAGGGGCATAAATAAACTTCTGAAGGAGATGGAAACTTCTGTCTTGTTTTGGTGGTAGTTACATGGGTGTATATAGCTAACAAACTCTGAACATTTAAGACCTATGTATTTTATTATATCTTCATTATATCTGGATTTTGTAAATTCCTTTAAAAAAATCACTTGAAAAGTATGGAGGGCAATCTAAAATATTAACAGTGATTGCTTCTGGGTGTCGGGACTATGGCTTACAACTTATGACTTGCCACAATGAATATGAATATTCTTCCTGCTTCCTATTTTTCACACTTTCACAAAGACAGCAAATGTTGCCAGCGTTTTTCCTCTGAGGGTAGGATCATGGTGATTAAGGAGTGTGTGTCACACACTCAGGTGGGATCTGGAAAGACCTCAGAAGCACAGGCAGAGGCAACATGGCGCCCTGGGAGGAGGCAGAAACTGGATGAGAAGAGCTCAGCTCTAATTCTGGTCTCTCACTTTATTGGTAGGGAAGTCACAAAGCCACATTTTCCTTACCCCTAAAATGTGAAAAAGATACATACTGCCTGCTTTGTGAGGGTCAGCCATAATAGCCATGGCCTACAACTTGTTCTCTCAAATCTAAGGAATTAAAGTAGTAGTCACTTCTGACACTATGTGATAAGAGGGGGCGGGGGACCACTCTCAAAGTCAGATTTCTTATTTATAACCCTAAAGGAAGCACAAGAAGAGATACTGCTGGATGATTCAGCCCAAACAGCCCAAGCAGGCACACTCACCTGTTGGGGTGGTAATAGTGGCTCTGCAGCGGGTGGGACAAACCCTGAGTGCTCAGCCGCTTTCTCTCCACCTCCTTCCAACCATCCTCTGTCCACTTTCTCTTGTTCTGCTTCTCGTCCTGTTTTTTCCCCACATAGTCAGCATAGGTCTGGATCCGATAGCTTTCTGCATATTTGCTGGTATTGACAGCTACAAGAAAAGGAAATCTTTATGAGGTTGTCACATAGGAAATGTGGCCTGAGGTGACCAAAGGAGCCTTGAGCTCATGTCTGAACTCTGTCCTTGCTCACTTAGAAGACATGTGACTTTGGGTATGTCCTGAAAACCCTTCTAATCTGAGCTTCCTCGTCTGGAGAAAAGGGAGAGTCCTTGTTTCCCAACCTCCCTCACAGTATGAAGGTGATTCACACAATGCAAAGACCTGGAATGACATAAACAGAACACTAACTTTCCAAATATTTGCAGCTAGCATGACCCCCTGGAAATTATTCATATTCCGAGTTAAGAAAATAAAAATAAACAAAACCACTAGATAAAAACTGTAAGTCCTCACTATTTTGTTAAAAACAGACACGAAGAAAAAAGCTACAAAGACTACAGTGGTGACCACTGTGTCAAATATGGTCAAATATGTGCCCTGTGATTTGCATATCTTGTGGATTCTTGTCAGGGAGGAATCATTCTTACTGATTAGAAAGTAGGGTCATAAAGGTCAGAGATCTGCTGCAGGCCACAGCCTGAGGAAATGGCACTGCCAGGACACAAAACCAAGTTTCTCCACTCCTGTTGCTGGGGGCCCTTCTTGCTGCTCTGCATCTCACTTTGGACTCTGCAAATTCCAGATGCCTCCACAGTACTTGAGACATGCCTCTTTCCCCATTTGCTCTTAAAGTCCACCCCCTCTCTGCACTGTGCCTCTGGCTAGCAGGAGAACTTGCAAGCCAGAGCTGATGCCCCTCTGAATGTAAATGCTTCAGACATTTATTGTTTTCGCAGTGTTGCAGAAGGAACCCAAGCTTTGCGCAAGCTAGGCAAGTGTTCTACTACTGGGTCACACCCCCAGCCCAGGCCAGGTCCAGTGTGTTCTAATCCCATGCTGACCCCTCCTCTGAGGCTGGTGGACAGAACACATTGGTAGTGTTGGAGTGAGAACTGGTGGCAGGCCCATGGGTGGACAGGCACCTGTGTCTGTGTGCTGGTACTGGCTCTGGCTCATGCGTTTTGGGCACGTCTCTCCTGGCCACTATCACTTTATTCCCCAGGCTTAGTGAGATGCTAAGGGCCTGGTCATGCTGATGGTGGCAGTCTTGGTACCTGGGAATCTGCACACCAGCACCTACAAAGCTCTTGGTGCACAGTGGGTCTCAATAAATGTTACCTGAATGAATGCAGGTAGCAGGCAGACTCTGAGCATATCAGAAGTGGACAAGAGACTCCAGTGTGCTGGGGACCTTAAATCCAAGGGAAGGACAGATATTGGAACCTGTCCAACACCTGATACTTTTTCATCTTCCACTGGACCAGATATGACTAAAACTTCCGAGCACCATGGTGGTTTGCGAACTGCCATGCCCCAAATATTTAGCCATCTAAACAAAGACGGGTGTGTGTGTGTGTGTGTGTGTGTGTGTGTGTGTGTGTGTGTCCTACTTCTTTAAAACAAATTTTCACTCAGTCTGCTGTACTTTTCAAATATTTACTCTGAACAGACTAAAACGAAGGACTCCTCAACTAAAATTGAGAGCAACTTCCTTGTGCTTAGAGTAAAGTCTAACAAGGTTGCAACCCCTGGCCCGCTGGTGCCAGAGCAGCTGAGACGGAGGCTGTCCCCCTGCCCAGGCCTGTCCAGCACAGACTAACCAAATCTTCTTGCCTTCTGTCTCACTTTACATCTCTTCTCCTTTATTTTAAGTCTTCCTTTCTCCAGAGCTTCCCAAACATGGAAATTTTTTAAACAAAAAATTTTCTTCTATCTTCCTTCAAACCTGGCTTTGAATAAAACCTATTTTCCTACCAATTAGACTCTGAGATCTGTGAAGCAAGGTGCAGAGCAGCCTGCCTTCTCCCTGACCAATATTAGTGCTGGCCAGAAACAGAGCTACAGTTAAAGATGAAACAAGAAAGACTCCTCGAGGTACTAGGGAGAGCTCACGCTATGCAGAGTCTCCCACAGCAGAGAGCCTGAGCTTGTGCTTGGAATAACACGCCCTTCCACACAGGGGGCGAAATGGTGAAGGCAGCCAGATCTAGAAGTGAGCAACTCACTGACACAGTGAGACCCTGGGGTCCCCTCAAGTCCCACCATCACTCTGACAGTTTGCACCAACTGCTGGCAAAGGAGTCTCCTGCATCTTCCTCTTAAATCTCCTTCTTGGATCTGAGAGGACTATCCTGAAGCATACCCCCAAAGGATGGCACTTGTAACGATCCTTGTAAAAACCTCAAGTTTCATTTGGATTACCAAGTAAAAGAGGGGCTTGGGTCAACATTCCCAGGACAGCAAAGGTGATGACAGGTCAGAAAGGAGCCATGATGATCCCCTCCATGGTATCCGACTGTTTCTAATCACTCTGCTCCCAGCCCCAGGGACAAACGCCACAAACAACTCACCAACGTGGTGAGGGAATTTATCTGAGAACATTTGGAAAAAGGATCACTTAAAAGGGGAAACAAATAACAATCCACTTTTCACTGCTGGCCTTCACATGGCAATAATTTACCAGCATTCCTTCAAGTCCCAGCAGCTTTGCAGCTCACAGCCTTTAATCTAGAAGCCAAGCTCTGGCTCAAAGCCACGCCTGTAATGGATGAATCAGCAAAATGAATTGGCCGTCAACTGTGTCCTCCAGCAGGTCCAGCTTGCCTGTTAGAAGCAGCATGAAGCAGGCTGCTCTGTAACTCTAACCTTCTCCAAATTCGTCAGGGAAATGATTCAAGGCCTCCTGTGGATCTTGCCACTTTGTCAAAGCCACTGGGGAACCAAACACACTGGGAGTCCACCCTGTTTCCTTGTGGACGAGCAAGGCAGCTCCTTTCACGTAAGGACCCTGCCCACTCCCAGCTCCACTTGCCTGGGCCACTGTCTCTTGACAATCTGAACACAGCATGGCATTCAATCTTCAGGAAAGCCCAACCCCAAGGGAGGAATGCTCCAGTGGTCACACAAGAAAGAGACTAAGCACCAGAGAAGCTAAACAGCTGGCCGAGGCCTTGTAGGTAAGCAGTGAAGCTGGTTTAGTGCCAACACGTGAGAAATATGTAGATGTAGATATAGACATGGATATTTTGAAAAACATCAAAATACTGCCAAGTATCTGTCTGCTGGGTATTTAACAGTATTTTGTTTATTGAGATTCATGACTGTCATATAAAATGCTTCCTGGTCTGGGGATGTGGCTCAAGCAGTAGCGCGCTCTCCTGGCATGCGAGCGGCCCAGGTTTGATCCTCAGCACCACATACAAACAAAGATGTTGTGTCCACCAAAGACTGAAGAATAAATATTAAGAGATTCATTCTCTCTCTCTCTCTCTCTCTCTCTTTAAAAAAAAAAAAAAATGCTTCCTGTATTAGGAATTTTATTTATTTATTTTTTTAAACATTTTTTTTTTAGTTGTAGATGGACGCGATATCTTTGTTTTATTTATTTATTTTTTTTGGTGGTGCTGAGGATTGAACCCAGTGCCTCATGCATGTGAGGCAAGCACTCAACCACTGAGCTACAACCCCAGCGCCTGTATTCAGAATTTTAAAGAATTACTTTAAGTGTTTAGGTTTTTTGTTGTTGTTGTTTTTATAAATCAAGAACTGTTTTATAAAGTCTTTCCAGCTAGGCTGACAGATGCATCATGTTAATGGACAGAAAGACTTAACATAGTCTGCAGTGGTTCTACAGATTTAGTACAACTCTGGCAAAATATGACAACATTTTTGTGGAAATGAAAAATAAAAATTAAGATAAAAAATCTCAACAGGAAAGAGCCACAGTTGTGAGGAACTACAATTAGGACAGGGAAAGGATGCCAACCTCAAACACTATGAGGGAATTTGGGGAGGTGATGAAAGAGTTTACATCTTGATTGTGGTGGTGGTTACATTGCTGCGCGTATTTGCTAAAACAGTGAGCTTTACAAATACAGTTATTTTATTACAGGCAAATTATAACTCAACTATTCTGAGGAACGTGAAAGATGGATTCTAAAATTTAAATGGAAGAACAAAGGGGTCAAAAATAGCCAAGAAATTTCTGGAGAATAGGAAGGGACCTTTCTTACCAAATCAGACAGCTCACTGTGAAGCTGCAGTAATTAAGACTGTGTAGTAAGGGGACAGAGATAAGCAAACTGGCCAACAGCATTGAAGTAAGAGCCTAGAAATTGAATTATACATCTGTGAAACTTTGATTTTTGACAGAACAGCCTAGAAAAATGAAGAGCTGGAAAAATTGTTTATCCATAGGAAAAAAAAATGAAATTGGATTCTTAGTCATACCAGGCCAAAAATCCACTCCAGATGGATGAAGAACTTAAATGTCAAAAGCAAACTTTGAAACTTAAAAAGAAAATGTAAGTGAATATCTTTCCGAATTTGAAGTTGGGAAGAATTTATAAAGATACAAAAAGGTTAAGCATAAAATAAAAGATCAGGAAGCTTGGCTATATTAATATTAAAACTCCCATCCATCAGAAGACATTTTAAAGAGAGTGAATTTACAAACTGGGAGAAGATATTAGCGCGACATTCATCTGACAAAGATCAGCAGCAGAATACATTTTCTACAAATAAGTAAGGAAACAACAGGAAAATAGGTAAAAAACATGCAAATCATGCATCTTCACAAAGGAAGCATGAAAAGCTAAGAAATATGGCAAGATGCTCAACCTCAGGTACTAACAAATTAGGAGCACAACAAACTAACATTTTATTCCTATTGCACTGGCAAAAATTTAGAAGACTGATAAATACCATCCATTGGGATGTGGAAAACAATCTAGTGTTCTCACCTGAAGTTGAGCATTACACACTCCACCCATGACTCAGCAGGTCCACACATCTAGATCACCCCAACATATGAGTGTAATGAGATAAATACAGGAGTTTTCAAAATAGTACTGATTATCACAGCCAAAAGTGAGGAAGAGACAGAGGGAGGAAGCAATCCAGGTCCTCCTCAACAGGGGCACAGATAAGCTGTAGATAGTTCACACAATGGAGCGCCATACAGGAGAAAATAAAAATGAGTGACAACTGTGTACAATAAAATGCATGGAACTCAGTGATGTGATGATGGGTGAGAAGTGCAAATTCTAGGAGTCCCTTTTTTAAAAAAATCAAGTTCAAAAACAAATACAAATATGGACATACTACATATTGGGGGAAGTGAGGGAGGGATAGCAAATATGAATGATGGGCACAAATTTTAGACAAGGGGCTGCCCCTGGCGGCAGCAGAATGGCATAGGGATAAGCCATGCTTTTGTTTTTTGGGGGAGGGGTGGTTTCACAGATGTCCATTACTTTTTTTTTTTTTTTTTTTTATCTTTATTGTATTTTATGTGGCACTGAGGATCGAACCCAGTGCCTCATGCATGCTAGGTGAGCACTCAACCACTGAGCCACAACTCTAGCCCTCCATTAAGTTTTAAGCAAACAGCATGTCTAGGTTTGCCATTGTCTACCAGGTCCAGCTACTAAGGACCATTTCCAATTCAGACTAAGCTAGAAGGTCTCGTTAAGACCAGCCAAGTTACTCCTGTTTCAATGACTCTAAGGTTCCACCAGCAGAGCCCCTGAATGCCACATGGGTGTAAGCGGGTGCAGTTGTGAACATGCCACTTCTTGGTCCTCCTCGGCTGCTAAGGGCAGTGCTGCAGTCTCATTCTCAGACTGCTGGAGTCAGTGCATCACTGGGGTGAACCACGGAGGCAGTTACTCACCATTAGTCCTGGATTTTGTTGCAATAGTTAAATTCAGCCAATATCAAGTTCTGCCTGAGGGAACAGCCTCTATTCTTATTAATACAGTGGTTTCCAGAAAGAGAGGTATTTATTAGATACTCTGCCAACCACAGAAAATCCAAGAAGCATTACCTTGACTTTACAGATAAGGAAACTGAGGCAAGAAGTGCCCATGCCAAGGTCCCGATGATTATAAGTGTTTAGTCAGGTGCAGTGGTGCATGCCTATAATCCCAACAACTTGGAAGGGTGAGGCAGGTAGATCACAAGTTCAAGATCAGCCCTGGCAAGTTAGGGACACTCTGTCCCAAAAATAAAATAAGAAGGGCTGAGGATATAGCTCAGAGGTAGAGGGCCCCTGGATTCAATCCCCAGTACCTGCCTCCCTCTCCCCAAAAAAGATTACAAGTGCTTAGGCTGGGATCCAGGCCAAATCCTACAACCTCTTCAAGACACCACACAGCCTGGCAGAATCTCTGATGGCAGCACTGGAGGTGACACAAACATACATCTGCCTGCGGGAGCATCAGAAAGTCTGTCCATCTCTCCACACGAGTTATGTGTAAACACCAGCAGGGGTGTGTGCTGACCACCCCCAGGGTGACACGTGCAGAACCAAGCCCAACTACCCTTTGCCAGAGTCTGTCAAGGTGGACAGGGCCAGCTTCTGATGCCTGCACCTCGATCTCTCACTCTCCTAAGCTACCTGCCTGGGCCACACCACATCTGGCTGTCGTTCTGGTTTGTACCTCATCCCTGAGAGAAACCCAGTATTTTGTGTGTGTGTGTGTGTGTGTGTGTTTGCTTACTTAAATATATCAAACACAAAAGTTTTCTCATATCCCATACAATTCTGATTGGGTTAGGGTTTACAACAGGTTAGGTGCTTCTTCAACTTTACCATGCAAGAGAATAGAGGGCTTTACCACAAATTCTGTTGATTTTTTACAACTTCAAAACTTTTTTTTTTTTAAATCAAGTCAGGAAAGACTTCCCAGAGGACACTGCTTGAATTGACTTTAAATCTTTTTTTTTTTTAAGAGAGAGCGAGAGAGAATTTTAGAGAGAGAGAATTTTTTAATATTTATTTTTTATTAGGTGATTAACGATGAATGTTCAAATTATTTAAACAGGCTCTTCCCACACTGCCACAGAAGCTCCTCTGTCCAATTATTTGTGTTTGTTTTAACGACAGCAACTGGAAGAGTTTTCAAAATAAAATCTACCTTCATCTCTGTAACAACAGACATATGGTTGAATTAAACCTGAATAAGAAGTTGGTATATTAAAAAAAATATTTATTTTTTAGTTTTCGGCAGACACAACATCTTTGTTTGTATGTGGTGCTGAGGATGGAACCCGGGCCGCATGCATGCCAGGCGAGCGCGCTACCACTTGAGCCACATCCCCAGCCCAACTTTAAAACTTTTAAAGAAAGGAGTTAAAAACAAAGCAATGCAAAAACACCCAATCCTGTTGGTCACGATGGATATTTTCCTGACTTGAGAGGGATGTTATTCCCCATCAACCCATCCAAGTACTAGGCAGACACTCAGTGCCTGCAAAAATCAGATCTTCCAGACACATGGTACAGACATTTCCAAGGTACTCAAACAGGTCAAGGAGGACAGATCACCCAGAAAGGGGCAGCCTTCCATCCAACCCTCTGCTGCCAGGAGGCATCCTCCTCAGTGACATCTGCAAGAGTGTTCCAGGTGAAGTGCTAGTCCTGGCCCAATGCACAGGGCCTTCGACGATCTTCTGTACCTCCCTTCTGTCTTCCCAGGTCAGTTTGTCTGTCTCCCCAGCAGAGCCAGCTGTTCTGTGAGGGAAGGGCCAGGCTTGCTCCTGCTGCAGCACATGGGATCTACCCTGCCGTTTTGGCAGGAACTCAGTATATGGGGATGGGAGGAGTGGAGGGAAGAAGCACAGTTGTTATGTCTGTTGAGAAACCAGAACAAGTATCTGCTAGGATTTCATCTAGAAACTCCATGCTGGAACCTGGTGTGTGAACAGAGACTGGACTGGAACAAGAGGCACTGGTTCTAAACAGGGGCTTCCCTCGGGCAGTAACCATCGGAGTGCATCGCCACACCTGAGCTGCGAAGCAACATGGAGAAGAGACAGACCACTGCCACTCACAGGCAGCACAGTTCCGTGAGGCTGCACTGGCCTCAGCCACATGGTTTGGACTGAGGGCTTGTGATTCCTCGTTCCTGATTCTTCCTTTCATATTTTTCACATTGTGGGTGTTTCTCCAACAAAGAACTCTTTTTTTTTTTTTTTTAAATACTGAGGCTGAAAGAGTGAAAACTAAGGCAATGAAAGCAATCCAAGCTCCCTGGAGGGACATGAAGGCAGGCAGGAAGGGACCAGGTTCACTCCCTTACTCTGCGCTCTCAGGTGCCACAGGAGCTCAACAGACAGGAGGCCCCTGAAGGAAAGAAGTGAGAGGCAGGCAACAGGCTTGGCAATCAGAACAAGAGCAGTGAACAGCGTTCACAGCCTCGGCCATGCACACACCCCACTCATGGGGCCCCACCATTGCCACGGCCACTTCAGGGAAGAGCTGAGAGAAATCACACTAGCGGTCGAAAGAGCCAGGCAAAGGTGTGACCTGGTTCTGCCACTTATGACAAGTCACGCCTTGCCTTGCCTTGCCTCTGCTCTCTCCACGTCACCCCTCTCAACTAAGTAACAACAGGCCACTATTCCCATGTCTTACCTCACCTTACAAGTCTCTAATGAAGGCCAAGGACATGGCAGAGAAAATAGTCCTTCATAGTGGACAAAGGCTGGCATGAGGATAACGGAGAAGCGTAATTACTTAAATCCTACCAAAGGGAGGTCACAAAATCAAATGGGAATCCACGGGTGCTGAGGCCGCCCTGGCCAGGGTGCCAACCCTGCCCCATCTTAGTTTGTGTGACATGTCTGCCTGGCCCTCTGTTTCTTAATCCACTAAATGGGCATCTCTACCTACTTTACCAAGTTGTTGGGAAGGGCACAGAGTATCATGCAAAGTTTTTAATACAGAGCTTGGGACAAAGGAGATGCTTAACCAATGATGTGACTGCTCTTAAACCATGAGTACACATGTCCAGCAAAGCCAGACAGCCACAGACGTGCTGATTCCATACACTGCCACGTGACAGAAGTGAGGTGCCTGGCAGACCTTGGGCCTGCCTCACTCATGGAAATACCCCTATTATTTAGGATTTGAATGTAATCTAGAAGTCTGGACAAGTATAAAATGAAAAATGAAGTATAATTTTTTTAAAATTTTTACTCAGACTAAAATAGCCAATTGATTTGTACCACCTCTCCTGACACCTCCCCTCCTGACACCACCACCGTCTGCTTTTGAAACATTCATCTCATTCATTCAACAAACCCTGGCTCTGGGTTCTGTGCTGGGTCCTGGGTGTGGCAGAACAGAAGAGCTATTCCCTGCCTTTAAGAAGCCCACTACGGCTATGGAGGAGGTGAGGGGAAAAGGCAAGGCTGTGGGGAGCACCGTGAGCAAGAGTCAGGGCGAGAAGTGTAGTCCTGACATGGGCAGGGCAGGAGGAGAGTACCAATAAATAGTGAAGGGCTGACAGGGAGCTGGCCCAGGCCACTGCCTCAGCATTTAAGGAATGACATCATTAAGGAGCATGGTTGCCATTAACCAGACTGGTGTTTTCCTTTTTCGTTTCATGGCATGGTTACAAGCTGAAAAGTCAATTAAAAATAAATAAAGCTCCCAATATTAAGTACTTACTATATGTTAAGAACTATCCTAACTGCATTACAAATAAATATGTTCAACTCTCACTTGTTCACTTATCCATCTATCCACTCACTCGTGAACAAACAGACCATCTTCTGGATCTACACAATGGGGCTCAGTCCTGTGCTCCCCGGGAGGGAGGCAGGGAAGGAGGGAAGGTGCGCAGCAGCAGGAGCTGAGGGGGAAGCAGCTGCGCTGGAGTGTCTCCTGGGGAACTGATCAATCCCAGACACAAGGACAGCTTCCCTAAGGAAAGATGCTAAGGTTTTTGTTAGGACTTGGGAGTTGGGAGAACAGCACTATAGAAAACACTGAAGGTGAAGAGTTGTGTTCCAGGCCCAAGGAATATGAAGTGAGAAGCCTGAGGTAGGCCACACAGTCAGGACCCAAGAACCAAATGACCATGATGGCCAACCCCAGAGAGGAAGCAGAAAAGCCTGAGGTATGGGGGAGAGACGGGCCGAGGGCACTAGGCCAAGTGCAGTGCCCGTCTCCCAAGGATTCGTCAGGAGGCATTCATGATCAGATGCCCTCCTGACTACGATCTGGGGAGATAGCAGGAAGTCAGTGCAATAAATAACCTGAGAAAGCTGGTGGCTCCTGTCAGATGAAAGAGGTGGGGAGGTCGAGAAAAAGTCAGAAGGGAGGACAGTCCTTGGAGTCCCAGCCTGGGTTATACCCTTTAGGGCCTGGAGACATGAGAGTGGGGCACACTTAGGAATGGGGAAGGTGGATGGTGGCTCTGAGGTACTAGGAAACATCCAGAAGAAATGTGGGGTGGATAGAGAGGATCTTTGGAAATCACTGATGTGTGAAGGGGGTTGAGCCCTGAGAAAAGGCAGAATTGCGAATGAAGAATGCACAGAACAAGAATTCTTCAGACTGAACCCCGGAGTCACCAACATCGAACCATCACGTTGATGGGAGGAGCATGCGTGGGGGCCTGGGAAGTATGGCTGAAAGATGGGACACAAAACTAGGAAGCAGGTGTCACGGAAGCCCAGAAAACACTGCTTCAGGAAGGTCAGTGGAGCAAGCAAGCGGGTGAGACGGGAAGGCTATGTGCAGGGGGGGCCACTGGAGGCCTGGGGAGGAACCAGCTCAGGGACGTGGGGACACCACAGCTAGGACCCAGTGTGCAGCCAGAGAGGGGGTGGTGACTACCAAGAAGCCTCAGGAGAGGAGGCAAGCTGGGATGTGGGAGGTCTTCTGAAGGAGGGAAGTGTCGCAGGTTGTCAGGCTGCTGGAAGAAGCCAAAGCCTGTGCGGGGGGAGGGCCAGCGCAGGCCTCTGGAGGAGGTGGCCCAGCTCACAGGAGGGAGGGAGCAGAAAGGAGCACCCAGGTGTGGCTGCTGGGACAGGACTGCAGGCTGCACTGAAGCTGGCTGCCCCCTGGGTGGAGGGGCTAGGTCTTCCCAAGAGCACAGGGCTGAAGCCTGGGAGGACAAGAGGGGCAGAAAAGGCCGTGGAGCCTTCGTGGCAAGCAACCTGCCTGATGCTGCTTCTCCTCAAAACAGTCACCACAAGGTCACAAGTGTATTTCCACAGACAGGAGAGAGGCTGAATAACCTGCCAAAAGCCTCAACAGCTCTCGGCAGGGCTGGGGTTTGAGTTTTGACCCTGCTTTTGATGACAACTTTAATGGATCCTCAAGGCAGTGAATGCAGCAGCCGCTCTAAAATGCAGTCAAGCAAAAGGAGTCTCACTGCTGGCGCAGCTCCTCGCAAGGGGGACAGCAGCACAGAGGTGGTAAGAAGGAAGCTTAATATGGAATCATGTAGAGACGATGAAGTTCAGGAAAAAGTTTTAACTACTACTACTTAAAAAAAATTACTACTACTTAAAAAAAAAAAAGAAAAGAAAAAAACCTTTGTTTTTTTTAGACAAAACACACAACTTGAAATAGAAGTTGGGAAGCAATTCCACACTTAACAGTCTTGAGGGACGTAACAGACAGCTGAGAGACCTCAGCAATTTACAACGCTCTTCACACTTCATGGGGGAAAATTAAGATTGATGTCTCAACTGCACAGGAATAATTTAGGGTAAAATCAAAGATCTCCTAGATCATGTGAAATGGCACATTCTAAACATCAAGAACACTGAATAAATTCTACTCTGAATAAATTCCACTCCTGGGAAGACTAACTAGTTCATGTTTTAGTTATACTGTTTTATAGCAATAACTTTAAGGACTGCTTATATACATACCATCTAGGAGTAAAAACAGGCAATGATCATGGTTTATAGGGAGGTCACTCTGTACCAGGTGCACAAAAGCTCTAATTCTAATGCATCATCCTATAATCACCTATTATATTGATTTTAATATATTCTCTTTCATCTCTAATCCTACCTCAACAAAACAGCCCTATTTTGAATATGACAGAACAGAGCCTCAGACAGGTTAAGCAACTTGCCTGATGCCACAGTGCAACAGTATGGTAAATGGCTGGCATTTAACCCAAGGCCGACACAGTCTTTTTTTGCTTCATCTGAGTAGAGCACGGGATGGGTT